GACTCGTGCTTTTAAAATCATTACAACCTGTCCCAGACTTCCCTATGCCTTTTATACTTTTATAACTTGAGCTGTCACCGTTATACACATCATCTAGAAACCACTTTTAAAATCAGGTAGCTAAAGTTGAGGAAAACTTTGTCCTTTTTGATAGCACCTACACCTAAGAGAAGCAATCACACATGAGAGTGAAGCGGGTCCAGAGGGCTTTGCTCTTGTAACAAAGTATATTGTTCTTCCTGAAACTGCAGAAGTGAAACTTTGTTTCAAACTTGATAAATATGCTCACAGAACTGGTTTTGAGTAGATAAGAGGGTGAGGATGAAATGGAGGGACCTGGGAACACAGAGTAGGTGCCCGTCTTAGAGAGACTTAGAAAGACCTGGTGTTATGAGATGGGTATGAATTATGAGGGGCTAGAGACAGGGCTCCATCAGTGAAGAGTTTACGGAACAAACACAAGGACCCGAGTTTGGATCCCCAGAACCCACATAAAAATCTGGGTAGGGTGGTGCATACCTGTAATCCCAGCATGAGGCTGTGGAGACCCAAGGAGCCCATATGCTTTTGTACCACGAGTCGGGCTAGCTGAAGCAGTGAGCTTCAGGTCCCAAGGCCCAGTGTCAGCTTCTTTATGTTTGTTTGTTGTTTTGGAGGCAGGGTCTCTCTACACAGCCCTGGGTGTCCTAGAACTCACTATGCAGACCAGACTAGCCTCTAACTCACTGCCTCCACCTCCCAAGTGCTGGGACTAAAGGTATCCACCACTATGCTCAGCCTTTGTTGTAGATTCACAGAAGGAGAAAATTTATTGTCTGTCAGATTCATTACTAAGAACGTCCTACTTTCGTGAATCTGTGTCGGTTTTAAAGTGCCTAGGATGAATGAGGCCTAAAGTCGACCCCAGCATGTTCTAGGCTGAACTTCAGGACCGTGACAATGTTTGATATAGTAGAAAACTTATCAACAGCCACTGGAGTGAGGAGTAAGTCACTGAAGGAAATAAAGGAGCCTGGCTGTGGTGTGGAAGAAAGAACTTAAAATACAGTGACTGGAAAAGGAAAGGAATTGACCTTCAAAAGAAGGGCTTTGACTATTTTTTTGTCTGAGATCAGAACTACAAGTCAATATGGAACTCTGTCAGATTTATTCTCTGTAATGACATTTTTTCAGGAATTCTAATACGCAGCACACAGTGAAATAGACAGATTGTGTGACATAATTTAATATGATGAGATGCACTGAGTTATCTAGGGCACTGCTTGTCTATAGCTGGTATCCCTCTGTAAACTGTTCATAATGGCTGGCTTCTCTTCCAAAAGTGTCCTAATTTAGGTAATAATTTTAATGTATATGTTCACTCTATATAAAAGAAAAATGCATGGGGTTTTCTAAGAAAGTTTTACTATTCCTCATAGATGACTTAGGAGGAAAGGGTTTATTTGGCTTATACTTCCATACCACTGTTCATCATTGAAGGAAGTCAAGACAGGAACTCAAACAAGTAGGAACCTGGAGGCAGGGGCTGATGTAGAGACCATGGAGGGGTGCTGCTTACTGGCTTGCTCCCAATGGCTTGCTTAGCCTGCTTTCTAGTAGAACCCAGGACCACCAGCCCAGGGATGGCCCCACCCACAATGAGCTGGGCTCTCCTCATCAATCACTAATTTAGGAAATGCCTTACAGCTGGCTCTCATGGAAGTATTTTCTCAACTGAGGCTCCCCGCTGACTGTCTTTTGTGTCGAGTTGACATAAAGCTAGCCAGCACACTGTTACTGCCTTGAAAATATCTGTAATGTTCCGTTGTGTTGCAGTGACATGCCAAAGGAAAAGGCTAGAAGACACACATGCATTAACCCTGCCACAGATAAGGCATCTACTAACTTGTTACTTAGGAAAGCAAACCCTGGGGTTTGTGGTAGTGTGTCTTTTGGTTTGGTTTTGGGTTGGGTTTTGGTTTGTGTTTGTTTTTGTTTTTGTTTTGTTTGAGACAGAGTCTCACCGTGTTGCCCAGGTTGTCCCAGAACTAACTGTCCAGACTCAGCCTTCTGTGTGCTAGCATTCAGCCATGTATCATCGGGCCCATCTTAAGAAAACAGGTTTTTCTTTAAGTTGAGCCACTGCCGGAAGCAAATCGTCTCACTTTTCCAACTCTCTCCACTCTTGTCTGACCATTGTCTCAGGAATTCTCAGACTTCTCTCCTAAAGTATGACTCATGCTGAGTCCCCAGCACAATAAATGAATAAGAGATTAGCTGGTGGGTGGTGGTGCACATCTTTAATCCCAGCCCTTGGAAGGCAGAGGAAGGTGGGTCTCTGTTTATTCTAGGCCAGCCTGGTCTATGTAGAGATTTCCAGGACAGCCAAGACTAACATAGAGACCCTGTCTCAAATAATTTTACTTCCTTCTTTTGAGATTATAATATAATTACATCACTTCCTCTTTCTCTTTCTCCCGTCAACCCCCCCATATGCCAGTACCTCCTTGATCTCTTTTTTAAAATCCATGTTCTTTTTCCATTTATTGTTGTTACACATGTTTGTGTATATGCATATACATATATATTCCTGCTCAGCCTGTAATATGTCACTCTTATTGTCAGGGCTGATCATTTGGTACTGGATAGCCAGTGGGGGAAGTCTGTTTCTCACACTCTTGGGATTCCTTAGTTGCCTGTAGTTCTCTGCGTAGGGTTGAGACCTGTTGGGCTTCCCCACCCATGTTAGTGTGTTTATTGCTTTCCTTGGTCAGCTCCTGTTTAGGCGGCCATGTTGGTAAGATATAATGTAGCTTCTGATGTTACTAGGAAACATAGTATCCCGTCGAACTTCCTAATCCTCTGGTTCTTACAATCTTTCTGCTTCTTCTTCAGCAATGATCCCAGAGTCTTTTTTTTTAATTTATATCGATACAGTAATTAAATCCAAGGAATTTTTTTTTAATTTTATTTATTTATTTATTATATGTACACTGTCGCTTTCTTCAGACACCCCACAAGAGGGTATCAGATATCATTACAGATGGTTGTGAGCCACCATGTGGTTGCTGGGATTTGAACTCATGACCTCTGGAAGAGCAATCAGTGCTCTTAACCACTGAGCCATCTCACCAGCCCAGGAATTTTTTTAAGATGTTACTATAGCCTAGCATAGTGGTATTCACCTTTAATCCCAGCATTCAGGAGGCAGAAGAAGGTAAATCTGAGTTTGGGACTAACTTAGTCTATATATAGCAAGTTCCAGGACAGCCTAGGCTATGTAGTGAAATTCTGTCTTTTAATACAAAAAAACACCAAAAAAGCTACTCTAGAGCTGGAGAGATGGTTCAGAGGTTAAGAGCACTAGACAGTTCTTCCAATGATCCTGAGTTCAATTCCCAACAACCACATGGTGACTCGCAACCATCTGTAATGGGATCCAATGTCCCCCTCTGTGTGTCTGAAGGCAGCTACAGTGTAGTCACATACATAAAATAAATAAATCTTTTTTTAAAAAAGTTACTCTAAACAATAAACATTCTTCATATGGTTAATGCCAATGCCAATAATATCGATAGAAAATATGATAAACCTATACTAGAAATATAGCTTTAATTTAATTTCTCACATCTTATAACAGGAAATAAACAAGAATATCTCAAGTTAGTGTACTGGCTGGTTTTGTGTGTCAGATTGACACAAGCTGGAATTATCACAGAGAAAGGAGCCTCCCTTGAGGAAATGCCTCCATGAGATCCAGCTGTAAGACATTTTCTCCATTAGTGATCAAGGGGCAAGGGCCTAGCCCATTGGTGCCATCCCTGGGCTGGTGGTCCTGGATTCTATAAGAAAGCAGACTGAGCAAGCTATGATGAGCAAGCCAGTAAGCAGCACCCCTCCACGGCCTCTGCATCAGCTCCTGCCTCCAGGTTCCTGACCTGTGTGAGCTCCTGTCCTGACTTCCTGATGAACAGCAATGTGGAAGTATAAGCTGAATAAACCCTTTCCTCCCAAATTTGCTTCTTGGTCATGGTGTTTTTTGTGCAGAAATACAAATCCTGAGGAAGAATGTTGGTAAACAGAGAAATCCACTGTGTCGTAGCTGGGCATGTTGGCATTAGCCCAGAATCCTTCCAGTAAAAAGAGACAGATTACACATGTGGGCAGGCATTTGTATGCATGGAGCATGTTTGGTCAGAGAACAGCTTTCACAAATTTGTTCTCTCCTTCCACCGTGGGTTCTGAGGACCTAAGGCAGGTCATCCGACCTATGTGACAAGCCTTTTTACCTGCTGAGCCATCTTGCTAGACCAGCTTTTTATAAAGTGTATGCGCATGTTATTGTAATTAAAACTTTAAAAAGCACTTCTTTTTAAATAAGGAAGAAATATATTGATGAAAATGGTAGCTGTTAAAAAGGGGCGATAAAGAAAAATCCAATGTGTGTTATAGGGGCCATAACACAGACTGATTTCTAAAAAGCACACACAGACTCAAATGATTCTTCATTTTTCTCAAATAAGAATTTATCACAGAACTATCAGTATATATGTAAGTAATGACATCAAAACAGGTTCAGTGGAGGCTAGAGAGATGGCTCAGTGGTTAAGAACACTGACTGCTCTTCCAGAGGACCCGGATTCGATTCCCAGAACCCACATAATAGCTCACAGCTTTCTGTAACTCCTGTTCCAGGAGATCTGACACCCTCACACAGACAAACATGCAGGGGGAAAAAAAAAAAAACAATGTACATAAAATACAGATAAATAAATCATTAAAAAAAAAAACAGACTCAGTTGAAGACTGGAAAGATGGCTCAGTGTTTAAAACACTTGCTGCTTTTTGCAAAGGACCAGGGTTCAAGTCCCAGCGCCCACTTAGGGAGGCTCACAACTGCCTCTGTTCTACCACTTTGACCTCCTCAGGCATCGATACTCCCGTGAACACATCCCCACAAAGACACACATACATACACATAGTGAAAAATAACTCTAAGAAAGAAAGAAAAAGAAGGTAAATTGTTCTAAAATGGCTCTGTTTAATAAGACAAGAAAGAGTGATGCCCTATGGGAATATTCCCAGGAAAGAGTGGTTAAGATAGTAACCTGGAATGCAAACACCTTGATTAAGAGAGAGACAGGCAGATTTCTATGAGTTCAATGCCAGCCAGGGTTATAGAGTGAGACCAGACATCTGTGGGGGTGGAGAGAAAGGAAAAGACGGCCAGATAAGTGGTTTAGGCAAGAGAGCATATCGGCGCAGAAAGCTTGCGTTGGAATAAGTGAGACACTTCTTTATTCCAAGAGGCACTGATCCGGGATCCTTCAGACTGCCTGAGCGGGCTTGCCCCTAGATATGGCCGATATGTAGTCGACCAGTGACGTAGGCAAATAAGATAGAGGGATGAAAAAAAACCTGGCGTCCCAGCCAGCCAAGTACCGGGTGCGAGGATACACGGAGGTTAGAGCGTGCTCCATGCAGTCCGTGACTAGGCTCAGGTTCGTGCTGCACTTCATCAGCTCTCGTTTGGTGGTGCTGCAAACTGAAGAATCAGAGGAAGAGGGTCAGCCCGCAATTCTCTGGATTGTTATCGTTGCACGTGGTCACAGAAGTCTAACTACAGTGCACTCCTGGGAAGACCAGGATTCCAGGCCAGACCTGTGCTTCCCAACATGATCATCACAAACATAAAGCTCAAACCTGTGCTTTTATTTTAATTCTAGAAAAGATTAATTTTTGTTTGGTTTGTTTTGGTTTGTTTGTTTGTTTGTTTGTTTGAGTCTGGGTCTCTCTATGTAGTTTTGGCTCACAGAGATCTGTCTGCCTCTGCCTCCCAAATGCTGGGTGTACCACACCCTTCCTTAGTAAACTTTATTTTTAAAACTCAGTTCCATGACTTATTCAATATAAGTACACGAATCTCCTTTTCCAATTGGAAATTTTATTATTTATTTATTGAAGGCATATTTATATGTGCGTGCACATTGCACACCACACGTGTGGAGGTCAGAGGACAGCTTTGTGGGGTTGACTCTAGGATTGAACTCAAGTCACCAGGCTTCTAGAGGAAATACCTTTACCGGCTAAGCTATTTTGCTGGCCCTCTGTGGTAAATCTGTGCATTTTTGTTATAACTTATATATATCATTAAAATCTAGCCAGTTAAAATATGTAAACCCTTGATTTTTAGTGTATTTAGAGCTTTGTGATCACCATGTAGAGTTGTCAAACTTTAGGACAAATTCTCCACTCCTAAGATTAGCCCTGGAGGATGGACATGTGGCTCAATGGTAGGGTTGTCACCTAGAACATTCGTGGTCCTGGGGTTGATCACCACATGACATCATGACATCACACACATATATATACACACATGCATATATGCACACACATACATTCACATGTAAAACACATACATTTGTACACAGTTAAAACATAAACACACATACATATACATAAACCTACACACGTAAACACATACAAGCACACATATATACACATAAATACATAAGCAAATACACATACAAACATATAATTCCCAAAGCCACTCTTTTCTCTCCAATCCAATGAACTCAAGGCAACATATAATGTGTTGGTCTCTACGGATTTGCATGGGCATTTCATATTAGTATAATCATGAACTGTATTCCTTATATATGGGTTTCTGTGTAGTACTTGGTACATGCCAAAGAGTGTCCTTAGAAGCCGCCTGTCTTTTTTTTCTTTTGCAAACATACCCATTTTCTCTATAATCTCTATCAAAAAAATAAAAAACAAAACAAAAAACAACAACAACAAAAAACCTGGGGCTGGGGACACTGCAGGTAAGACATGAATATGTCTGCTTGCCATTCATTGAGTTAGATTCCCAGAATCCATGCCATGGCTGTAACCCCAGGATGGAGAGAGGTAGATCCAGGGAATTCCTGACCAGCCAATCAGACTGAAATGATGAGCAGCAAGCTTGTTCAAAGACCTTGTCTTAAAAACTACAGTGGGGATCCCAACTGTGGCGGCACACACCTTTGACTCGTGGAAAGCAGGGCCAGGCAGATCTCTGTAAGTTCGAGGCCACTCTGGTCTACAGACCAAGTTTCCAGGTTAGCCAGAGCTACACAGAGAAACCCTGTCTCAGGAGGAAAAAAAAAAAAAAAAAAAAACTAAGGTGGAGAGTGATAGATGACACCCAAAGTCCTCCTCTGCTCTCTCTACATGTGCAGGGAAACACACACCACACACTTTCGTACTTACACATACACCAAACACACACACACATACACACACACACAAACTTACAGTCGTCAAAAAACTGCTGTCCGTAGGACTCCTTGATGTGTTCAGGGGCTGCTTCCCAAGCTTTCTTGACTCTGTCAATGCTTAACTCTATATCCGTCATTCTTGTTTTGAAGCTCCCGGGTTCAATTATGCTGACTTTCACCCCGAAAGCTTGAATCTCACGCCTGAAACCAAACTATTTAAGTTACCTCCTTTGATAAAACAGTCACCATTTTAGCTCCTTCCCCCAGCACCCCCCCACACACAGACACACACAGACACACAGACACATAGACACACACCAATAGTTTCACTGAAGATTTTAAAGGACAGAGAGGTGGTACACACCTTGAATTCAAGCACTTAGGAGGCAGAGGCAAGTGGATCCCTATGAGTTCCAGGCCAGCCTAGTTTACATAGTGAATTCTGGGCCAGCCAGGGCTACACAGTGAGACCCCGTCTCAAAAACATAAAATAAAGAACAAAAAAAAAATAGGAAAAAATAGTAATTTAAACATTCCTAGATCCAATCATGGGAACATGATTACACCAAGTCCTCTAACCACTAATCTGTTCCGCTCTTTTGCTTTGTTTAGATTTGACTTTGTATGTTTGTGTGTGCATGCATGTGTGTGCATGTAGGTATGCTTGTAAGTATGTGCATGTACATGTGTATGTGTGTGCATATGTGTGTTTGAGTGTATCTATATATGCATGTATGTATATGTGTATGGGTTTGTGTGTGTGTGTGCATGAGTGTGGGTGAGTGTGTTTGTGTGTACATGTATGTATGTGTATGACTCTCTGTGTGTATGTGTGTATGCTTGAATGATGAGTGTGTGAAAGAGTATGTCTGTGTGTGCATGTATGTATATGTGTATGTCTCCATGTGTGTCTATGTGTGCTTGCATGCATGTGTGTGTGTGTGTGTTTATCAAATCACACTTGTTAGAGGTCAGAGTTCAACTGGCAGGAGTCAGTTGTCTCCCTTCTGCATGCAGGAGTTCCAGGGATAGAACTCGGGTCATCAGACTTGGTGGCATACACCTTTGCCCTTTGATCCATCTCACTAGTCCCTCAACTGCTTTTTCAACAAGAGCACACGCTACTCTCCCAGAAGTCCAAGGTTTGTTTCCCAGTACCCACATGGCGGCTTACAATCGACCATAATTCCAGTTCCAGAGCATCTGACATAGTCTTCTGACCAAGACAAGCGCCAGAAATGGACACAGTACACACACCTACATGCAGACAAACACTCATACACATAAAATAAAAATAAATATTTTTAAAGTGTTAGGTACCCAGGAAGGGAAAGGAAAAGAAGTAATAGAGGAAATAGCATTGGTTATGAAGGTGTTGTGCTAAGTGCTTATATGTATGAAGGTGCTGTGCTAAGTGCTTATATGTATGAACTGAGTATGTCAAGACTGAGTTCCTCACCTCAAAAATCTCTCAGTGGGTCAGGTCTTCAGGCAACCAGGAAGAGGCAAGTGATGAGCCTCCCCAGGCAATCAGAAAGAAGGAGATTCTGTCAATGACTTTGACTGCAGATTTTTGACTTGGAAGAACAACGAGGGGATAGCATGTTGTTTTAAAACACCATAAACTTTAAACTACTTGTGATAATGCACTATATCCACAAGAATCTAATGGCTACCATGAGGTCATATTCAAGTCTCATTTCCCAAGATCAACCCCTGCTAAAGAGCGTTTGTACAGAAATATTCTGTGCCAAGTGACTACTACACATGTTCTCATGTTTACAGCTGATTGGACCAGGGTACTTGCTTGATGGGAAGAGGGACAGTCTTAGGTCTAGACAGTGACTCTGTCTGCTATTACCCATGTGACATAGTAAATACTTAACCTCCTCTCTGCAGTCCTGCAGTAGAGTGAAGGCACTATCTTAAATAATTTGGGTGTCAGATACAGCTCAGTGATTGAGCGTTTACCTAATACGTAAGGGCTAAGAACCACAAGAGAAGAAATGATTTAACAGATGTAAAATTCTTACAGTATGGCCTGATGACTAATAAGCACTTAGCATTGTCCCACAATGTGATGTCAGTGACACACAAGATACATGAACCGAGGGCTGGAGAGATGGCTCAGTGGTTTAAGAGCACTGACTGTTCTTCCAGAGGTCCTGAGTTCAATTCCCAGCAAACACATGGTGGCTCATGATCATCTGTAATGGGATCCGATGCCCTCTTCTGCTGTGTCTGAAGACAGTGACAGTGTACTCATATACAAAAAATAAATAATTTGTTTTTTTTTAAAAAGATGCATGAATTCAGGAAAGGATATGTACCTTAGTGGTCAAATGACTGCCTAGTGTATATAGGGCCCAGAGTTCGATCAACAGTAGCAGATGCATACACACACACACACCCAATGAGCTAGATTCAAGAAAGACCGAGAGGTCCCATGATAAATTGAAATTGTAATAAAAAAAATATATCAAGTAAAAAGATACGGAGTAAGGCATCACCATGAGAGACAGAGACAAGTTGTTTTTCAGGAAGAAAAACAAAGCCACCCTCTCCTCAGAAGGGAATCTTGAGGACTAAATGTGACATAGCTACAGAGCTAAAGGCCTCAGGCCAGAGCACCATCCTGTCACTTCTTGACTTACAGATAAATTTTGGGGGGAGTCTCAGGCAGTGGTGGTGCATGCCTTTAATCCCAGCACTTGGGAGGCAGAGGCAGGCAGATTTCTGAGTTCAAGGCCAGCCTGGTCTACAGAGTGAGTTCCAGGACAGCCAGGGCTACACAGAGAAACCCTGTCTCGAAAAAAAAAAAAAAAAGAAAAAAAGAAAAAGAAAGGGGGGGATTGAATTTTGGTCTCAGTTTCCATGAACTAGAAACAATACCCCACATACAGGGGTTTTGAACTGGACAGGATTGTAGTGCACACTTTTAATTCCAGCACTTTTGAGACAAAGCCAACAGACTTCTCTTGACCCAGCCAGGGGTACATAGTAAGATCCTGCCTAAAAAAGATTTTTTTTTTAGCTAGACAATAAGACACACCTGTAACCCCAGCCCTTAGAAAGTTAGAGCAGTATGATCAGGAGTTCAAGGCCAGCCTCAGCTACCTGAAAGTAAGGTAGAGGCTAGCTAGCCTGGGCTACCCTGTTTCAAAACAACAAAGGACTTAAGGTGGTTCATATTTGTAATCTCAGCATACAGAAAGCCAAGTCACGAGGAATGCCTACTCTTGAGGCCAACAAGAGATATACAGTGAGATTCAGGCCAGACTGGGTTACAGAGTGAGATCTGTGTCAAACAACAGAAGAGATGTGGGGCGCACGGAAGGGAGGTAGTGTCTGAAGTACAGAGCACAATGTGTGCAGCTGTGACGTATGCGGCACTCTGGATTTTATCGAACAGTTACCTTAGCACGTCTGAGAATGCCTCAACTCCATATTTGGAGCAACTGTAGAATCCTCCAAACAACGCAACTCTTCCCAAAACACTGGAGATGTTGACAATCCTGCCCCGAGCCTTCTTTACCAGGAAAAGCATGCTCAAAGTCACCTGGGTCAGACCAATGAGGTTCACTTGAAAGATAGATGTGTAGTCCTCTGGCCTGTACCACTCAAGGTAGGCAAATGGTTGTAACACTCCTGCGTTATTAACCAAACCCCAGAGTCCTAAAACAACAAAACATAAATCGATACTCATATTCCTGATAAAAAAACCAACAACTACTTATGCTGACAAACTTTCCTTAATAAACAGCTAAAAATGCTAGAGAAAAGACAAAACAAAAAACAAAAATGAGACTAGATCTCTCTCCATAGCCCAGGATGACCTGCAACTAATGATACTCTTCCTTCAACCACCGAAATGCTCAGATTACAACTGTGAACTATCATGTCAGAGAGAGAGAGAGAGAGAGAGAGAGAGAGAGAGAGAGAGAGAGAGA